AGCTTTAGACTATAAAAAACACTTGCATTCATCACACAACGCACGACACATAGTAGAACAACAACACTTGTACTTATATTCTTTACATTTTCTTTGTAATCGACATTTTCAATCAATAAAATTATCTAGGCAAATGATCATTATCACCTACTAAGATTTATGCCGGAAATCCTAGCATGGATCAATGATTTTCCTTGTAAACAACTTGTGTCACTTTGATCAATATTTTATTCTTGAATGATTTTGAACGTCATAGTCTATCGTACACTTTAATTGGTCGATTCTTGCTTTTTTTTTTTTTTTTTTTTTTTTTTTTTTTTTTTTGACCAAAACAATGATTTAATGGAACATAAAGTTAATTAAATAGTTTTCGTAAAGACAAATTATTTATAGAGCATTTTTGCCATTTAACATAAAAAAAAAATCATGTGTATTTAAAGACCGTAAACATACAATACTGTTCTTCTCTAGCCAACAGTTTTGATCCTACTTGAATTAAATTTTAATGCTATTTCAACTAATTGAATAAGTGAAAGTTTAATTCAATATGATAGCCGTTTCCAAAAATGAAAAAAAAAATGTTAACGTTTATAAGTTTTTACATTTAAAATTTTTGGATCAAATAAATAAATAACTTAATATTCTCTTAGTTATGGGGTGGTTCTTAATCCTTCTAACATTTTTTATCATCTTAGAAACTACTAAAAATAGTTGTACAGGAGTTCAAAACGAATTATCCAAATCAAATCAAATCAAATCTTTAATTTATATCATTTCAATCAAGACCAAATTAAAAACCATTTTGATAGAAAACTACCAAACAAACTATCCGTAATTATTGTTAAATCGAATCCACTCTCTATTAATTCCTGTGTACATTAATGGTAAATATTCACTAAATTGTGTAGTTTCCTAATTCATTCTTATATAAAACTCATACATTGCCTCGGATTCTTACGTTATTCTTGATTCACTGATCATCAATAGTTAATTATTTTTGTTATTCATTCACAGATCATGGGGCGTGCGAAGCTAAAAATGGAGCTTATTACGAAAGAGAAGACGCGAAATACAACTTACCACAAAAGAAAACAAGGAATTATAAAGAAAGCTAACGAATTTACCATCCTTTGCGATGTTAACACTGTTATCATCATTTACCCTCCCAACTCCGACAAGCCAGAGATATGGCCGGACAACCCTGATCAAATCAAGAAAGCAATTGCCTCTTACAAAGCCAAAAAGGATGATAACGGGAAGAGAACTTACAACCTCAATGACTTCTTTGAGGATCGAAAGAAAAGGATCGAAGACGAGCTTCTCAAGGCCCGAAAAAGAAACATGGAAGCCAAGTACGCGACCTGGTTTGATGAGCTCGATGGTTTATCCGAAGTGCAATTGAGACAATTCGCTATGGAGTTGGAAAACAAGGAGAATTTAGTCCGACGTCTTGAATTCCAGAAAAGAAGCATGCAGATGACGATGACTTTACCGTTGCAGCCATTGTCGTCAAGGTTCGAGCTTGAAAACAAGCAGCCGATTTTTCACTATACTGGTTCGCATCCGAGTCTTGATCATGTTCAGATGATGAGCCACCACCGTATGAACCATCATGATCAGCTTGGGTGGACGTTCAATGATGCAACAACAGCTTCGTTCATTCCATTGAAGCGTGAACTGGGTGCGTATGGTTATCCGGTGTTTGAAGGTGGTGTGGTTTATGATAACTTGAATCCATGGCAGTTTCAGCCGGCGCCAGTGGTTCAGTGCGGCATGACGCCGGAATTTGCAACGCAAGAACTTCCTTCACAGGTGAATATTAATGGTGAGTATGGTGTTTCCGGGGATTTTGTGATGGTAGATCATCAAGGAAGGTTTTTGGGTTAACTATTTTTTTTATTTAATTAATTCTTAAGACTATTAGATATTAACTTGTGAGGATAATTAGTTTTCTTTTGTCTATTCGTTTTCATGCTTGTTTAGTTTATCGACTTCTTATTCTTGATTAGATCCTAAAATCCTAAATTATACGTAGTATAAAAGAAGCAATCTTTGGTTCTAATTAAAGAATCTTAGCTTTAATAGAAGGTGCATTCATTTATTGATTTATTATAAGATTTATGGTAACATCATTTTTTTAATAGTATATATATATATATATATATATATATATATATATATATATATATATATATATATATATATATATATATATATATATATATATATATATATATATATATATATATATATATATATATATATATATATATATAGGGAAAAGTGAATATACCCTTAAGGGTATATAAGCTTAAGTACCCAAACTCATAATAATATGTCGTTTTGTTTGATATATTCATTATAATATTGTTAAACTTCAATCATTAACTTCATTTATATACAATATTTTTAAATTCTCACTATCAACTTCCTCTTACATCGCATCTTTTTGTCGAACACTTAGTAGGCTATATATATTATTGTTGAAAATGACAATTATGTAAGAGGAAAATAAATATGAAATTTACAAAAATCTTTGAAGTAATGCAAGTTAGAAGGTGAATTATAAGAACATTGGACAATTACAATGTCTATATATGATACAAAACGATGTAGTATGGTGAGTTTGGGTACCTAAGCTTATATACCGTTAAGGGTATATTCACTTTTCCCATATATATATATATATATATATATATATATATATATATATATATATATATATATATGTTCAGGTTTATTTGAGATCATTCTAATTTTGTGAGACCGTGAGACCAAATCTAAAAATAATTTTAAAATGCAAAATAAATGGAAAAATCCAAAAATTCTTTTTTTAAATATTATTTTCGGAACTTGAATTAACTAAAAAAATATAAAAAAATAAAAAAAATTCCGTTTGTTTTTTTTTGAAAAATACGTGAAATATTCTAAATAGAATATTACACTGACATATTATAAAAAATAATTTTAAAATACAAAATAAATGGAAAAATCTAAAAATTCTTTTTTAAATATTATTTTCGGAACTTGAATTAACTAAAAAAAATAAAAAAAAAATAAAAAAAAATTCTATTTTTTTTGAAAAATACGTGAAATATTCTAAATACAATATTACACTGTACATATTCTAAAAATAATTTTAAAATGCAAAATAAATGGAAAAATCAAAAAAAAAATTTTAAAATATTATTTTCGGAACATGAATTAACTAAAAAAAAAAAAATGCGTCTCACAGTCTCACAAAATATAGGTGGTTTCAAATGAACCTAACCATATATATATATATATAGGAATGAGTTCTATGGAAAACAAATAACTAGGGCAACATCTACCGAAACCAATAATCAAATGATACGTGTCCATTTCTTTCTTCACAAGTAATGTATTGTGGAAGTTATTGTGGAAGCGATGTGTTGTCATGTTTTCATTGGTTCAAATATGTGTTGCCCTAATCATTCATTTTCTATATAACTCTTCCCTATATATATATATATATATATATATATATATATATATATATATATATAAAGGGAAAAGGGAATATACATTACAGCTTCACCTAAGCTTAGGTAGTAAACCTCTTGAAATACATTGTTTTGCTATATAAAGATTATGGTTGCTGGATTCATGATTAATACTTCAAGATGTAAATTCAAGATCGACACAATAGGGTTTAGGGTTTATGGTTTAGGGTTTAGATTTAGGGTTTAGGGTTTAGGGGTTAAGTTTAGGTTTAGGGTTTAGGGTTTAGGGTTTCGGGTTTAGATTTAGGGTTTAGTGTTTAGGTTTAGGGTTTAGGGTTTAGATTTAGGGTTTAGGGTTTAGGTTTAGGGTTTAGTAATGTTCACTTGGGTGAAGTAATAAACGGTAATTAAAGAAAGAAAACAGGGATGGTAAAACAATAATGAAAGAAACAAATGTTGTGGAGGATGATATATTTACCAAGTGAAACCAAACCGGGTATATCTAGCATGTTAAAACGACATATTTTAGAAGTTTAGTACTTAAGCTTAGGTGGGGCTGTAATGTATATTCCCTATCCCCTATATAGGAAAAGAGAATATAAGGTTGTGATGTATGTATGCTTGTGTATAGAACCCTTCAAAACTACACCATTTTGTGGAAAAACCCACCAAGTCATGTTCCCAGCTTATACGGTTTTTTTCCATGCATATTCTTTATTTCTTTCTCTAATTCTCCTAACGATCTTCTCTATTGATTGCTCATCCTAAACCCTAAACCCAGTTGTAATCGTAACTCCCATCGTCTGCAATATCAAATCTCTAAGTTGAATCAGCAAATAGTTCTCTGTGTACAATCATATTGGTTTAAGGTCAAAACTCTTGTTTTCCAACTCTTGGTTAGTATGATATTTAGAAATACATATATTTACTTTTTGTTTTGGTTTTGTTTATTTGGCCTCAAATGCGATCATCATATAATAATAAAAAGAAATTAGTTTTTATCATTATCATATCACGATTCTATCAATTTTTCAATACACACACCACATGTAGAGCCAATAATTCCAAAGGCTTCTTAAAAGTGCTTTATGAGTCAAAGCTTCATAAAACCGTTAAGTTTTAAATGGTCTTCTTTAGCGGCTCAATGAAAAACATTTAATTCAAATACTAAGTAGAGCTGTGTGGGTCAAAGATGGAAGAAAGTATCAATTACAATAAGATGAACCATAATATTAATTTAGTCTTCAGAGAAATAATTTCAAACACTAAAATTAGAGAAAAACTAAAATACCAATCTTCAGTTATGTTTTTTTGTTGTTAAATTTAAAAAAATTAATGGAAACTTGAATATGATGAATCCTTAACACTTTTTTCAATTAATTTTTGTTTACTAGTGTCTCATTTGTTCAAGGTGTGTTCTAATTCCATGAAAGAAAGACATAAACATAATTAACCCTCTATAATTGTCAATTTATCAACGTTTATACATTATGAGTTCTTACCGATGGGTGATGTCTTCGGTATCTAATACAGGACATGCAAAACACCATGAATTCAGAAGCTCAAGTAGTTGATGATCCATTACGAGCATATACAACTGAAGATGTTGATGAGGATGTGAACCTTGGTAGTGATGTATATGAAAGTAATGATGAAAGTATCATGGGGAAAGATTTTTGATACACCTCATGATGCGTATGCATTTTATAATCCATATGCTTTTTTACATAGATTTGGTATACGAATCCATTGGGGTTATTAAAATAAGACGGCAAATAAGGTTTATCATAAGATGTATGTTCGCAACAAAGAAGGTTTCAAAAGATTGAAGGGTAATAGTTCACATGGAGATGCCAAAAAAATGGCGTATAAATTTAAGGATCGGGTGTAAAGCAATGGTTCAGATTTCAAAATGAAAAGATGGGAAATGGTTTGTGGATGTGTTTAACAATAAACACAATCATGAGTTGAATATTACACCGACAAAAGTAATGAAGCACTGCTCACATGGAAAGTTACATCGTTCATTGGCGTGTAAATCTCTTATGGTGGAACTTGGCCAATCGGGGTGAAAGCCTTCTCAAATAAAAAAGGTTGTTAATGCAATGAAAGCTCCATCTCACATCAACATTACTTCAAAACATTGTGTGGATATCTTATCTGAACAACGAAGACAATACAAAGGGAATGAGTTTTATGGGCTCATCAAACATTTCCAAGATAAAGCATTAGTTGATGTTAACCAGTATTTTGTTGTTGATTTATTTGCAGATGGATCTCCTTGAAATTTTTTTTGGGTTGATGCAAGATCAAGGGATGCATATACTAAATTTAGAGATGTTGTGTTTGATGTTACCTACATGACAACTAAATTTAAGATGCCATTTTTTCCCTTTGTTGGAGTGAACCATCATGGCCAATCCATATTTTTTTGGTAGTGCATTGCTAAAGAATGAAAAAGGAAAAAACTTTCCAATGGTTATTTGATCATTTTTTAAAGTGCATGTTCAACAAGTGCCCATTTTCAATGATAATTGATCAAGATAAAGCTATGGGTAATGCCATCAGAAAAGTGTTTTCAAACACTGGACATCGCTATTGTGCATGGCATATTAAGAAACACGAGCTTGAACATCTTTAATCTTTGGTATCCCGTTAGTGATTTTAAGGATTCTTATCGACAATGGGTAAAAAAAGGATATAATTGAAGAATTTGAAGAAAAGCAGGAAGTGAGTGTTAAGTATAACCTTGAAAGTAACCGTTGGATCACCGATATGTTTAACTAACGAAAACATTTGGTTAAACCCTAATTGAAAGATGTTTTTTTTGCTGGCATGACAAAAAACAGGCAAAGCGAGAGCATTCATTCCTTTTTGATGGATTCGTTAATTCCAAAACTATGTTGAATGAATTTGTAGTTCAATATAGTAAAGCGGTTGAATCACAACGAGCCGTCGAAGAAGATGAAGACTTCAAAACTATGAACTTAAAGCCAATTCGTTCATCTATTCATCCAATAGAAGCAAAAATAGGTGAATGTCATACCAGGAAGATATTTGAGATTTTAAAAAAAGAATGGGTAGAAGCTAAACAAAATTTAACTCATGAGACATTAACCAAATGTATAGAAGAAATCAGATACATGGTTAGACAAGTGAATGTTGACAAGGCAAATTGGTGATTTGTCAGTTATCGTTTCATGAATCAAGTGGATGTCAAATGTTGATTTGCTAAATTTGAAACATATGGCATATTATGCAAGCATAGCCTATATGTTCTCAAGAAGAGAAATGTTCAAACCATTGCCGATTATTATATTTTACGTTGGCAGACACTTGATTCTAGGTTCAGGGTGAGTGCTCGTAGCATAAGACTTGATGAGATGAATAATGAAAACGAGGTTAGTGCCTTAACCTTATGGTACATTCGTGAAAATTGTAGTAAAGCAATTGAACATGAAAAAAACTCCTTTTCAACGCTAAAAAAATTCAATAATCTAGTTGTAAAGTTTTTAGATGAAGAAATGATTCATAAAAAGCCAAATGGTTTTAAGAATGCGTTGCAAGATTCTTGTACGGGCATTTATCAAATAGATATGATACCTCAGATGTCAATTTGAGATCCTGTTGTTCTTACTAATACGAAAGGGAGTCATAAAAACGTAAGCATGATTAAGTCTTCTTTAGAGTTGGTGAAGAAAAAGAGAACTTGTTCTCACTGCAAAGGATTAGGTCATTATGCCACTAGTTGTCCAAGTAAAAAGGTAACTTGTAGTTTTTTTTTTTAATGTTTAATGTTTTTGTAGTCTAACACTTGTGTTTGTTTTGTATTAGGCGGAGGAGGCTTCACAAGATAAACAATGATGTTATTTTTTGAAGTTATTAAAGAGGTGGAAAAGAAAAAGATAAATTGAATTCCTACTAAACTGATGAAATTCAGCATATGAGACTTTAAGTTGCTATTTGTTCCTTTAAAATATTGAAATGGGTTATTTGAGACTTTGCTTTTACTGCAGTAGCTATGTACTTCATATTTGAGGCTTGGAGTTGTATTCTTATTTGAATTAGTGATTTACCATAAAGGATAATGTAATGATGTTTTAATTTGATTACTATCTTTACTTAAGAATCATGGGTGTTCTAGTTATATTGAACCTATACTTCCAGCCACTAGCCCTTTGACCTCAGGATGGACTAAATGCCAAATAAACTGAACACATATGAACTAATAGCTTATCAAACACAAAATGGATGGACTAAGTTCTAAAATTACCAACATCAAGGGTTAGAAGCAATTAATTTTTAGTGAATTAATGTTGGACTAAGTTCCACAATTACCAACATCAAGGATTAGAAGCAATTATTTTTAGTGAATTAATGTTGAATGCTTATGTACTTCTACAATTATTAGAAAAATATTGAGATAACAATGTACTTTCAAGACATCAAATATCCTCATAGTATTGTCAATGAGAAATTAGAATTCGATTCAGTTTTTGAACATGATGTCACTTGTTTGCTATTCCAGACTTACAAACAGCCAGAGACAAAAAAAAAGTGGAAACAATGAACCAAGTTTTATTAAAGTATTAAAACAAATTACAATAGTTAATGTACAAATTTTCTAAACACTATAAGCATTTCTAGGAATGCAATAGATGTCTTGCAAAAATCATAATTTAGATGGAACTTTTGATCTGCTGTTTTCTCTTTTTCGAAGAATCCTGATGTGTTTGTAGGTTTTTTCATTATAGTGACGGTGTTATACCTGAAATATATATTTTTTTTATCATAAGCTTGTCTACTAATTGGTTTAATAATCTCCAATTCATCAATGCTTATTCACCCCTTATGTAGAGGATGCCAAAGACTCCAGATTGATACATTTAATCACTAACTAGTACCAAAATGGAAGAGGAAGAAAAAGAATAAATAGTATGTCTCTTTTTAGATACACATATGCAAAGATACATGTGAATGTTTAATCTCTAACCAAGACTTGTTGAAGTAGACCCACGAAAGGTTGAACAATATAAGCGCAAATAACGACTTGTCTCTTTGACATATCATTCAAAACCTCTAGTGTAATCACTAGATCATCATGTTTTCTGAAGATACTAAAAGCAAATAATGAAAATTGCATGTGAAAATGTTTCCTAATAGATTAGACTTAAATTTCCTAACTTTCCTGCTCAATATCTTCGAATCCGAAAAGAGCTAAGAGGCTTCAAATATTCTCTATCACAGCCCCAAACCTGAACGGCAGAAACATTCACGGCGAAGGACATCATGTACAATATCATAACAATTGAATAGTAAAGAAAGTAAACACAACCATCATATACGTAATTGAAAAAGTTACATCATTGTAAACGTTTACATGTTTCAAAAGTCAACTACAATTTGATGTCAAAAGTTTTGTTTAACGTCCTAGCGTCAAATCTTCAAAATCTGTTGATAACTTGCCTTACTGATTTCCTGAGAATACAAGTTATTTGAGAAAAAATGTGAACATTTAAGTTAGCGAGTTCATAAGCATTTGTATGAAACGGTATGCCATTCAATGAGTTGAAATCACGTTTATTTCCAGAAAATCCGATATTTTCTATAAAATGAGTTGTAAGCTGCTTGTTTGAAAAGTAATCGTATTTTCCCTAGAAAATATTATATTTTCCGTAAAATAAACTGTAAACTGTTTATTTGTAAAGTAATCGTATCTATCCTGGAAAATCCTATACTTTCCATAAAAACTGAACTGTAGTCTTATATATTCCAAGAGTTGAAAGTACAAGTATATATGTCATACTTAGTTTTTTAACATGTAGTTTTATTAAAAAATAAAACCATTTGAAGAGCTGTGTAATTACGTAAAATAATTATAATATCGATTTCACGTAAAACTAATGTATTGTCGTTTATCATGTCAGTTTTCATAGTCGTGCTATTAATGAATTACCTGCCTCGACGTTCTTTAGGCATCGAAATGATATGATATTTGTCATCCATAACCTACCGGTCCGAATGTAGCTAGTAGTCAGGGTGTGAGATCATCAGTCCCGTATAGATTTATACACAAGTATCACGCTCTCCGGGAGGAGACTCAGGTTATAAAACAGGACTTTCATTGACACCTTTGGTAGGTACGCTGAAGACGGATGTATCACAAATTACCAATGATATACGTGTTTTTGTAATGAAAATAATCATGCATGAAATTATTAACCATTTCATCATATTTAATATGTATATAAAATAACTGTATTTTTATATAATCGATTCTTTACCCTGAAGGGTAAAATAATGTGAATGTTTTTCAAACCATAATTAATATAGTTTTAAAGATATTGTTTCGTTGAAAATGATAATCGTTTCGTTTTAACGTGTTTTTGCATGTAACCGTTTGTAAATTTGGTAATAACGTTGTGCCGTATGTTTGATATTCTTACGTAAAGATGTTTTAACGTAATAAAATATAAAACAATAATTTGTATATTAACACAAGTTTCATGTGTTTTACTTGTAATCCTCCTCCCCCCCCCCCCCCCCCCTAAAACATGTAAAAGTTATAAAAATGTGGGCGTATGAACTCACCAAAACTTATTGTCGTATCCTAATGTTTAAACACATAATGATGTGTGAATAAGATGTTAATAATAAGATGGTTTCGAAAATACTAGGGTCTTATATGAAACTTACCAAAACTTATAATCAAATTGAAGCAAAGTCTCCTGGAGTAGTTGGAGCTTTTAAATTAATGAAAGGAATTGGGTATGATATTTGAGAGAGAATGGGGGATGTTTCGTATGTTGGAAGTTTAAATGAAGTATGGTCTCTATATTGTTACTTTAATAGGAAGTAAATATGAGGAGGTTGAGTTGACGTTTACATTGATAAATGGAATTATCACGTAGGGAAGTGGAATTAGGATAAGATAATAAGATATTTTATAAGGATTTACGCCCCAAAAGAGGGTTTACGACCAAAAGGAGGTGTTTACTCCCACCCATGAAGGGTTTACGGCCATAATTAGTTTTCAAGCCATGGGTTCACAGTTTGAGTCAAAGAGGAAAAGAGTTTTCGGATTTAAGTCCAAGTGAAAAGGGTTCACGGTCAAAGGGAAAAGGGTTTACGGTCCTTTGTCTGTCCATGGATAAGTTTTCAGACCTAGGAGAAAACGCAAAAGAGTTTTCGAGAACTACAAGTTGTCTAATATACTCAAACCAAAAACCTGCTTAATGGGGGTATATACCATGTATTTAATTTAATTCTTTGACTTGTATTGACTTGTAACAATTAAATCTAGCATGGCTTTTACACATACTTATATATATATATATAACCCATATAAGCATGGTTTTCAAAACGTAAGTATGTATAACTTATATAAACATGGATTTCAATTTATATTAACATATAGAAGTTTGTATCCTTTACCTCCAAAGTTCTTTATCGTATTAATGTAACGGTGATACTTCACTTGTACATAGTGTGAGGTTAAACTCTTATTCTGAACATGTGTAATTTACATTGATTTTGAAATAACGGTTTGTCACATTATCCCCACGTTAGATGGAGTTTCGTCCTGAAATTATTTCTAATGTGGTACTCATGTACTAGGGAACAAGTGTGGGTACTTTTGTTTCATTTGGTCTTTCCCGTTCCCAAGTGAATTCAGGTCCTTGCTTAGCATTCCAACGGAACTTTACAATCAGTATGCGACTTTGTTTCGTTCTCTTGGATTCTTTATCCAAGACTTCTACAGGTTCTTCCACAAAGTGTAAACTCTCGTTAATCTTGATTTCATCGAGTGGAATAACCAGAGTTTCATCTAACAAACCTTACTTGGGATTGGACATGTGGAAGGTAGGGTGTATGTTACGAAGTTCTTGTGATAGTTGGAGTTTATAAGCAACTGGAATAATCCTTGTGAGTATTTCAAATGGTTTCGATGTACCTTGGATTTAGTTTTTCATGCTTTCCGAAGAATATCATGCCCTTCCAGGGTGAGACATTTAACAGAAAACGGCCACTACGATGAAATTCCAAGGGTTTTCTTCTTTTATATGCGTAGCTCTTCTGCCTGTTTCGAGAAGCTTTTAGTTGTTCTCGAATTTGAGCAATCTTCTAGGTTATTTCCCTGATGTTTTTTAGACTAGGGAGAGTGTTGTTAGGAACTTGTACTTTAGCTAATTGTGTATCACCAACTTCCACCCAGCACAGAGGTGATCTGCACTTGCGTCTATAGAGGGCTTTAAATGGAGTAGCCTTAATACTAGTGTGATAATTGTTGTTATATGAGAACTCGACTAGTGGTAAATGGGTATCCCATGATTTACCAAAGTCTATCACACAGGCTCTCAACATGTATTCTAGTGTCTGGATCGTTCTCTCACTCTACTCGTCTATTTGTGGGTGGTAGGCTGTACTCATATCCGAACTACTTCTAGGGATTTTTGAAGTTACTACCAGAACCGAGAGGTAAATCGCTTGTCTCTGTTAGAGATAATAGATATTGGTACTCCATGTAATCGTACTATTTCTCGGATGTAGGTTGTGGTCAGTTTTTCCATTTTATCTGTTTCTTTGATTTGTAGGAAGTGTGCAGACTTGGTTAACTGCTCCACGATCACCCAGATTGTATCAAGGCCACCAATTTTCTTGGGTAACTTGGTTATGAAATCCATTGTAATCTGTTCCCACTTCCACTTAGGTATCTCTGGTTGTTGCAGTAAACCTGAGCGCTTTTGGTATTCAACCTTTACTTTGGCGCAAGTCAAACACTTGCCTATGTAGGTTGCAATTTCTGCCTTCATGTTCGGCCTCCAATACAATTTCTTAAGGTCCAGATACATCTTGTCTGAACC